TACATATCCCGTTCTGTAGTCAAAACCTTATAGTCGCCTTTCGTTTGAATACGTAAAAATTTACATTTAGTACATTTAATACCTGAACACATTTAATGAATAAAAAAGCATTTTGAATAAAAAGCGCCTTCGCATGTCTTAAAAGTTAATGCATTCAGGATCCAATTTTTTAATTTTCTAATGTATTTTTAAAAATTATACCCTTTTCTTGCGTCATCAGATAGAGGACATCAAGTTGTATGTCGAAACAAGTGTTCATCGTTCTAGAATGAAGTTTGACGGAGAAATAAAAATAATAAAAAGTTTGATAAATTTTTGAACACAGGGCTACTATTAAAAAATTTCCTGGCCCTTCTATTTCCATCATAAAAATTTCGTTCTTGCCTAGATCTCTAGAGAAATGTGTGGATAATATTTACTACACGAAAAAAAGAAAAAATTTTTGCTCTTTCCTTTCTCGAATAACTAATTTGTGCTAATTAACGTTAATTTGGTCTATTCTACCAGCTCACCCTCCCATTTGCAAAATAACGACTCCACGAAAAATGTCATGCAATACCTCATCTGATAGACAATTTTACGGGCGTTGACTTCTTTTAGCCGAAAATAATAGCCGGTAATAACGGCTAAAAGAAGAATTGGTAAAAATTTTGCCGAAAATAAGAAAAAAGTGTAGAGGAACAATATGGCCGATAGAAAATAAAGAAATTAAGGATGTTGAACTTATTTTTAGGTAGAATTCAACGAAATTAAGAGATAAAAAGGTGTTTCTCGCATCTTAAGTCATTAAAAATGTTCTAAATCGATAAACGTTCTTTTGGAAGACGTGTTTGGTTTAGATTTTTAAGAGGCATTCTATGGATAACATCTCATATTAAAAAAATCGAATAACTTTTGACGGGAACATTGTGGAAAGCTGAAAATGTCCGGGCGTTTCGATGCCCACTAATGTATTTAGGGAATTTTATCATTCATACTAGACACGTGAGCATTGCGATCTACTTCGACAAATGCATCATGTTCTCGAAGAAATATCCGAGTAAAACATGATGCATGGGCAGAGCGCCTAAATCCAGTTTTTCAAAATCAGGAGTTGATCAGGAGATTGGTTTTTCAAAACCAGGAGAAAAACAGGAGAGTATCGAGCGGTTTTTTCTTGGACAAGCAAAACAAAAAAATCCAATAACTTTTCAACAACATAATTTCCTAAAAAAACATCTTTTTTTTGAAATAATTTTTGATGAAACAGTATTATCATTTATTACAGACTGTAGTACGGATTGAGGAAGAAGATTTTGATCCGATGAGTTTAGAAGTTCACTAATCTCATCTTGTGATGAGAACATTCGATAAGCACACCGCGTGCCCTTTCAATGTACAATTATTTAGACTCTTGATCCAGAAATTCTGTTTCTGAAACTGATAATCTCAGTTTTGGAAAGAACAAAATCGATGCAAGAAAACAACTGAAAATCAGGAGAAAGTCTTAAAAATCAGTTCCTGAAATCAGAACAATTTTCATCAGGAGAAAAGTCTAAATCGGGAGTCTCCTGGTCAAATTAGGAGATTTAGGCACTCCACGCATCGATCCAATGTATGTAAAGACTAAGAAGTTTTCTAAAAAACTATGTAAGAAGTAAAACTTGACCACACCTTCTTCAGAGAATAATATACAGCCAAATCTTGATAAAACAACCAAAATGACAAGCTTTCATAGTTTTTCTACCAAGTATCATATTTGAAAAAATAAATTCGGTCACTTTAGTTTTCAATTAGTATTTGCACAAAGTGTAAAGATGTGCACAAAAGAAACATTTCTAAAGAACTCAAGAAACGGCATTTATGCCATATATCTTTCAACTTTCAGACAGAGGAAAAACCTCATAACATCTTCTGAAACTTATTAATTTATAGTAAAACCTCTCTATTGTGAACATCATCGAGACTTTTCAAAAGCGTTCACTAAAGTGAGGTGTTCACTTTAGAGGTTTACTGTAGTTAGAAGTCGGTTAACTATAAAGTTTATAATAGCAGTTCTTGGATACAATCCCAACACACTTACTTAATGATCGATTTCATCGGTTTTTTTCTAGAGTAATTCCTTTGGAAAGACAAAACATTCTGAACTTATAAATTTTATTCCACTGCAAATTTTCAACTCGGGGAAGATGGTCCGAAATATTTTTATTACTTGAAAATAACTGGAAAATATGAGTTTTTGCTAAAATTCGTTAAAACAACAAAAATATCATGAAGGAGATTATTCGAGAGCTCAGAATTTTGCGAACATAGGGAGTTTCATATGCTCTATCGAATGAACTTCGAACGAAACTCTAATATTTATCGTCAAGTTAAAAAATGGATTTTAATTTATGTCAAAATTTCATTAAAACGCGCATATCTCTCCGAGCATACATTTCCACCTCCTGAAGCATTGAGATTCGGATAGAGCTCAAAATTTTGAGTATATACAAACATTTTGAGCATATGTTTTGGCGGCTGCTTTGTGCCGATCTGAAAGAGTAAATAAATTCAAATCGTGCATAAAACAAGCACATGACATCACGTGGACATACTGTACTTCTGCGACATCGTTTTCACTGCTTCCCCTTTTGTTTTGTATTCATCAATGGGAAGGAAAGCAAGATACAACATGTGTTCTCTGGACTTATTTTCGGCTAAAAGAAGACGACGAACATATTCAAAGAAATGGCCCGATGAAATATCTACTGACATGATTCAGAGAGAAAAAGTGAACTAAACTTTTTCTGTAGTTCAGAGATAGATGTTGCAAGAAGTTAGTTAACTTTGATAACACAAAAAAACTCGTCTACAGATAATAAAACTTACAGAATATAGATAATGTATCATCGAGCCAAAGCTCTATATGGACTAGAAATTTTTTGTGCTCATCGACTCGGACTGAACTTAAACTTTCAAGAACTTATTTGTCTTTAGAAAAAAGCCCGGACGCCGGTCAACCAGGTTTTTTTGCTCACTTTGGTTGTTTTTGCGTTTTTTTTTAAATTCGACAACGGCCATCTTTGACGTCAAACATTAACAGCTACCGGGAAACAAATGGTATGTGAACAAGCAGTAATGGCTCATCCGATCATCTACAGACTTCCTGCTGAAGTACGATTTGTTTCTATCACTAATTCATTAGATAGAAGTTTTATATTTGAACAAGAGTCAGATGGGCTTCCATTTCCTGCTTTCGTTTTTTTATGACCTATTACAATTACAAAGATGTTCACGATGCCATAATGGGTCAACAGAATTCATAGAGCTCTATATTGACATAAAAATCTTCAAGATCAAGAGAAAGAATTGCGAAATAAACATTAAGTTTTTTCTCAATTCAAAAATTCAACAATTGAGAGATATTTTTTTTTTAATTCAAAGAATACAAAAAGTCAAAACAGTTCAATCAATTCAAAGCAGCAATATCGTGAGGGTGCATAGCGTCAGTTACATACACTCCAGCTTGATACAGATGAAGAAAAACTTTGTAAATACATTTTCCTTGCGAAAAAGGCGTAAAATTTCTGTTTTATCAATTTTGAAACCTACTGAGGCTCAAGCCTCTTGAGCATCGTGGCTTCACCGTCCTTGGTTTAGACATTGACAAGTAACATTATTATCAAAAATTATCGATATAGATTGTGCGGAATCCGAGTTTATATTTATCCTCGTGATCATCCACGGAACGTATTTCACTACTGATTTTTTTCTTTTTTTTTCTTACTAAACTTTTCACTGAATTCAAAGCAGCAACATCGTGAGGGTGCACAGCGTCATTTACATACCTATCAACCTTCACATATACCTTTGCATACCAATCCATTATCAAGTTGGTAATCTTCATCTTTTAGAAGTGATCTATACTACATGATTATTCTGATTTCGAATCACTCGCGAACATGTCAGCCTCTCCAAAATTTCTTCTAGACCGAAGTGTATGAGTGACGTTCCTAGTGAATGTACTTGCATGCAGATACTTGATTAAGTACCCTCGCAAGTTTTGTCCAATACTCTTGCGCTTCTTTGCAAGTAAACCAAGTACTGGACAAGAAGGTAAAGTAATCCAAGTGCTTGATTTTCTTGGCAAGTACTTTGCCAAGCACTTGCCCAAGTACCTGCCCAAGTACCTGTAAGAGGTTCAACAAGTAACTCAAGTACCTGGCACGTGCTTTCAGGCATTTATCAAGTAGTATTTTTTGAAAATACTTATCAGGTACTTGAGTTACTTGTTGAACCTGTGCAAATTTGAAAGTAAACAAGTCACCACTCGCAAATACATTCACTAGCGGTGATCGATGTGTTTGTCAATCACGATGACAAAACTCACTCATTTATCTTCAAAATATTTTCTCTGTGTTTCACGTAGTCCAAGACATTCATAAGATGATTAACATGCTAATAAAAACTGATATCACATTTCTTGTCGTTCTTTACTTTGATTAAGCAACGTTTCTTACCGTACAGTCCCCATGTTTATGACTCTCAGATATATATCTAGCATTTGAAGTGCTGCAAAGTATATTAAAAATGAATTATTGGCAGAGAAATACAATTCGAGATGTGCTCGTATATAGAAACAATAATTATATTCGAAATTAGTGTCTGTCTGGAAAAGACGCCGAGTAGCCACGATCGAATGAGCTGTTTCGCAGGCATTTGAAAAACTGCAATAAATTCATTATTAACAGGACAATCCGCATATGATAGAATTATAATTTTTTACATCAAGGGTTAGATTACATATATATATATATATATCATATGCATAGAAAGGCAATACAAAAAGCGGTCTAGTTTCATTTGAAAGGTAAAGAACTAGATATAACGCTCGAGAATTAGAGGCAGATTTTATCTACAGATTAATCAAGAAACCTCCTTGAATGTGTCATACCAAAACGATGCTTTCCTTGATAAACTGAATATCTTTTATTGAAACTCTAGTATTCTCAAAAGGAAAAAACGCAAAGACGAATGTCTTATGATATAACACATTGGAGTGATTGTTGTTGCTGAGGAGAAAAACGTCGTGCTAAGTTGAGCATTGGCTGCGTGTAATTATTATTCATCCATGATTGTTTATATGCCATGATTCTATTGACGTGTCTTGTCTGACCGGCAATGACAATCGATTGTGCAGCAACTAAATGATGTCTAACCTGACCAATTTCATAAAATTGATTTGCACTATCGCCACATAAATCATCATCCTGAAAGAATACTCTGTCTTCAAATTCGTCAGGACTGAGCGTAAGGCACAAAATAAATACTAAATAATCTTCATAATCCGAAAGGTTGCGCCAATTTTCATAGTTTTTATACCGCTGAATATTATCATCATCATATTCAATGACATTGCATACACAATTCAAGTAATACATACATTTAGCTACATCATTGTTGGGTACATTTACTGTTGTACCATATCGTCTTACATCTTGAATACTATTTCTCTGCCAATAACTCATTTTTAATATACTTTGCAGCACTTCAAATGCTAGATATATATCTGAGAGTCATAAACATGGGGACTGTACGGTAAGAGATGTTGCGTAATCAAGTAAAGAACGACAAGAAATGTGATATCAGTATGTTAATCGTCTTATAAAAGCGGGTACTGTACCCTTAGTTTTAAGCCTATATTAGTAAAAGTGGTACTCATTGTAGCTTATTTTACAATAGAAAGTACCACCTCTCTTGTAATTTAAAGTAAGACGGACTACTTAAGCAACTGGTTGTTCGTATGTGCCGGCAATTAAAAAGTTCAGGAGGATTTCTTTTGTCATGGTTGGATCGAGTTACCTACCATTTTTAGTTTTCTAAAAGGCCTTTCCAATACAAAAATTTTAAAATATTGATTTTTTGAAACGAGTCAAAAATAAGTGGAATTTTGAAAAATAAGCAAAATTTTCATGTTTATTCTTTTTCTAAAATTCTAAAGATATATTTTTCTGATTCTCCATGTAAAACTGAGTATAAAAAATACAATTTGGTCTATTTAAAGTTCAAATTGCTTTTAGAACCCGCTAAATACGAGCAGAACCGCAGAATGCGCACCACTCACACAGTGGGCATCCAGGCGGACATTAGGCGAAAAATTAAAGTGGCTCATTTCTTTAATGTAACTAGTGCAAAATGTAGCCCTTGAAATTCTCTATCGAATGGTGTATGGATGTCTATTTTGATGTCG